TTTTAACAAGAAATTTCACAAAAGCCCAGCTGTTTAGAAGGTCATCACAGAGAGAGAGGCTTAAATGGAATAGAGACATTGTCTTGATCTTATAAAAGAACATACTTTGCACAGTGTCTACTTAATATATTCTAGTACTTCACAAACAATGTAACTAGTTGCAAATATAATAGGATATTGGAGATTCATTTTAATAGAGGTAGAAACACTAAATGACAGGGGCACATGAAATTTAGAAATCTTACTGGATTTCATTAACAAAGGTTGTTTTATTTTTTTATTTTTTAAAAATATATTTTATTGATTTTTTACAGAGAGGAAGGGAGAGAGATAGAGAGTTTCTTATTTGGGGGTGATGGGTTTTTTCCCATTTTATTCTGATGCTAATTTCATAGATGCACCCCAGGACTCCTCTACAGCCTGTTATAAATCTACCAGAGGCCTAGTGCATGGATTCATTCACCATTCATTCACCATTGAGATTGCCTCAGCGGGGCTTGCGCCCTCTAGCAATCCGGGGAATGTTAGACTGCCGGTTTTGGCCTGATCCCTGCAGTCCAGGCCAAGGGATCCCACCGGTGCATGAATCTGTGCACTGGGCCTCTAGTGTGCATATAAGATCTTTGGTTAATCTCTTCCTGCCCTCCCACTCCCCCACTTCCCTCTGAGACTCATCAGTCTGTTCCATACTTCCATGCCTGTGCGTTGAGCGTCTGCCCCCTGGTGATCAGTGTATGTCATAGCTACTGGTCAAACGGTCAAATGGTTGCTTAGGCTTTTATACATATAGATCCTTTGAGATCGCCTGTTATTAAAGGATAGGGTCTCCAAGGTTTGTGTGTGTGTGTGTGTGTGTGTGTGTGTTTAAGTATTAGAGACTGAATTTATGCCTCACTCGGTGAAATTTCAAAATAGAAAATATGTTTTCTGTGATACTTTGTCATCATCTGTACCCTATCTCATAGCAAAACAGGAAATTGTTTAAAAAGAAAAAGTCCAGCTTATTTTTGAGATCACATGCTCCTATTTTCATATCCAATTTCTCCGTATTTTTTTAATTTTAAAAGTGAATAATCTCTTTCCAGGTTTCCCCCTTATATTAAAAGTATTTCCCTCTTTTGCTTATCATAAACAAATCAGTCTAGCCTGTTCTTACTTATTTTAATGCAGTTCCTTAAAATGTGGAATTCACCTGTATCTCTGCTCCCTTATATTCCTACACTCTTGTAATGTGTAACTTACATTCATTACTAGTATTTTATCTGCAAAGGGAAGAAAGGAAAAAATGATGGAGTCGAGAAATTCCAAGTAGGGAAATGTTTTGGGTCGTAGGGGGAGTACAATTGAGTTGACAGTGGATGTGTAAAAGGACAATCAGTGGAAATTGGGCAGCATGAATTTCCACTGGTGATGGTCACCCTGGTTACATGACTCTCCATGACAATGGGCTGCTCAGAAACAGAGAAATCAAAAATGAGGGGACGAGGGCTGATGATAGGCATGGTAAACCTGGTCATGTCACTCCTCTGCTTATAATCCTTCAAAGGTTTTCCATCCCTTAACGGGACCTTCAGGAGCCTCCACCATCTGGCACTGCCTATTTCTCCAGACTCTTCTTGTACCACTTTTCCCTTGGCTTTCAAAGTCCCATCACCCTGGCCAATTTCTTCCCTCTTCGTGGCTTTTGCATATACCATTCCTTTCATCTGTCATCCCTTACTCCCACCACCGACCCTTTGCTTCAGCTTAAAAATTACTTCCTCAGAGAAGCCTTTGCTGACCAATCAGAACACTCTATCACTATAGTGTCTCAACATGTGCTTTACTTGTCTTTTTTTTAAAAAAATATTTTATTGTTGATAGTATTACAGGTATCTCCCACCCCCCACTTTCTCCCCTACTTGTCTTTCAGCACGCATCACCATTACATATTTACTTTCCATACATGCAAATTGCTCCATGGAGGCAGGCACTTGGTCTATCTTTTTAAAATACACATTTTTATTGATTTCAGAGAGGAAGGGAGAGGGAAAGAGAGATAGAAACATCAATGATGAGAGAGAATCATTGATCAGCTGCCTCCTGCACGCCCCCTACAGGGGATTGAGCCTGCAACCTGGGCACGTGCCCTTGACCGGAATTGAACCTGGGACCCTTGAGTCCACAGGCCGACACTGTATCCACTGAACCAAACCGGCTAGGGTGGTCTATTTGATGATTGATCAATTCCTAGCATCTAGCCTAGTGCTTATCACCAGCAGGTGAATGAATGGCAGGAAAAGTTAGCTATCGGACCTTGGGCAAGTTTTGTTTCATTTTTAACTACATCTCCATTTTCTTATCTGTTAATAGGGGTAATGATAATAACTATCAACCTCAGAATTGCCACGCAGGTTGAAAGAGACAATGCATGCTTTGCAGGGTGTCTGGCATGTAGTAAGGGCTAGGACATGTTAGTTATTATTATGAACATTAAACGTAAGCTTGCCCGGCCAGCATGGCTCAGCATCGACCTAGGAATCAGGAGGTCAACCATTCGATTCCCGGTCAGGGCACATGCCTGGGTTGCAGGCTTGGTCCCCAGTGGGGAGGCATGCAGGAGGCAGCCAATCAGTGATTCTCTATCACCACTGATGTTTCTATTTCTCCCTTTCCCTTCCTCTCTGAAATCAATAAAAAATATTATTTAAAAAAAAACCCACATAAGATCTGTGAGCAACCAGAACTCTCATACACTGCTGGTAGCAACGCAAAAAATAATACATCCACTTTGGAAAACATTTACCAGTTTCTTATAAAGTTACACACACACTTACCACACAATCCAGCAATCCCACTTCTAGGTATACACCCAAGTGAAATGAAAACTTATGGACACAAAAACCTGCACATGAATATGTATAGCAGCTTTATTCCTCATCACTCAAAACTGGAAACAACCCTAACATCCTCCAACCAGGGAATGTATAAGCCCATTGTTGCATAGCCATGTAAGTGGAAATACCACTCAGCAGGAATAAATGAACTACTGATACGTGTAACAGTATGATGAAACCCAATGCATTATGCTAGGCGAAAGAAGCCACTCAAATGGTGACATATGTTTCCATTTATATGGCATTCCAAACAAGTCAAATTATAGGGACAGAAATCAGGCCAGCCAGGGGAGGGGGTGAGGAATGAGGAAATGTGGATGGGAGGGATGATGGAATTATCATAGGACTTGCTTGTGATGGAAAAAAAAAATCCAAGACAGGTGGATATAATTACATTTTTCTTTTCTTTTTAAAAAAATATATTTTATTGATTTTTTACAGAGAGGGAGAGGGATAGAGAGTTAGAAACATCGATGAGAGAGAAACATCGATCAGCTGCCTCCTGCACACTCCCTACCGGGGATGTGCCCAACCAAGGTACATGCCCTTGATGGGAATCGAACCCGGGACCCTTCAGTCCACAGGCTGATGCTCTATCCACTGAGCCAAACCGGTTAGGGCTACATTTTTCTTTTTTATTTATTTTAGGGGGGGGCATTTATATTCCTGAATATAAAAGAACTTCAGGCTCATTGTAGACATTTTGGGAAAATGTACAATGTACATTCCATCACCTGCAGAAAAGTACTATTTCTTTGCTATCATTTTGTTTGTTTGTTTTTTGTTAATCCTCATCCACGGACATTTTTCCATTGATTTTCAGAGAGAGTGGAAGGGTGGGAGGGGGAGAGACAGAAAACGAGAGAAACACTGGATGTGAGACACATCCATTGGTTACCTCCCGTACACATCCTGACCTGGGCAGGGGATTGAGCCTGCAACCGAGGTACGTGCCCTTGACAGGAATCGAAACCGGGACCCTTTAATCCGCAGGCTGACGCTCTATCCACTGAACCAACTGGCTAAGGATTTGCTATCATTTTTATAGGCACGAAATATACACATACAGACTGGGACAATGCTGTACATTTTTGCTTTCTGAAATATACATTTTGCTTTCTGAAATATTTTATGCACGTTTCCATGTCATTAAATAATTTTAAAAACTATGCTTTTATGAACCCATTGTATAGCTGATTTATATTTTAGCCCTTCCTTTATTGTTAGAAATTATGCTGATCCCATCTTTTCTTTACTACAACGCTGATAAAATGAAATTTTAGAAAAATCTCAGAGGGGCCAGGCACTCTGCCATCACAGGGTTTCACAATGTGTAACTGGTGAAACAGCTCTGCCTTTGGCTGCAATTCTCTCGTCGTTTTAAGTGTCTGGGGGAAGAGCGGTTCCACAGGGTGATCTGGCCTCCTTTTTTTCGTGGTGCATGAGAAACAGGCACCCTCATATTACCTGTATTACTAGCTTAAATTTGCATGGTGCTTTTTATATGTAACCGTCCCCCATCCTTGCAGGCAAGCAGAGGGAGTGATGTGTTCAGGATCACACAGCCTATCAGTGGTGGAATGGGACTCAGACGCCAGCTGTCCAGAGTCTCAGGAAGTAAACAGTTCCCCTTGGAGGGGCACTGATGACGCTGGACCTCCCCCTGCCCACCCTCACCCCAAGGAGCTGCAGACTCCCCCCGAAATCTCTGCCTGCAGGCCTGACACCAGGGGAACTTAACTCTGAACGTGGACACTGTCCCATCCGACATGTTGTCTTTGGCAACACTGCCACTTACCAGCTGGGGTCATTTCTCCCCCGATGGCAGGGGGCACCTACTGCCATTGACCAAGGGGGGGCCCTGGGAGCTGAAGGATCCCCGGCTTCGGGGCCCGAGGGGGTTGCTGTCGGTCGGTCGGTCGCCACGGTGCGAGGGCACATCCTCACCGGGGGGTCCTGCAGTGTCCGCGCCTTTCGGCGAGGGGACGAGGGCCCCCTCCTCGTCGGGTCAGGGCTGTCCGGGAAGAATCCGGGACGTGCCCGGCTCGCCTTCTCCGGGCACCCGGAGGTCAGTCCTCCGCTATCCCAGAATGCCTCGCGTCCCGGAAGTGCCGCCTTCCCGGAAGTTCCCGGCTAGCTGGCCGAGCCGGAGCTCGCTGCAGCGCTGCCCGCTGCGGGGTACGGTTCTGCGGTTTGGGTGACCGCAGGAGGCCCGACCCGGGGCCGGGGTGTGCGTCCGGAGGGGCTGGGCGGCGGGATGATGGAGGAGGAGGACCTGGAGTTCGTGGAGGAGCTGGAAGCGGTGCTGCAGCTCACGCCCGACGTGCAGCTCGCCATCGAGCAGGTGAGCGTTCCGCCCCCTGAGGGGAGGAGAGTGCGGGGGACGGGGCGCTGCGGGGGTGGGACCTGGGGTGGCCCGAGGTGGGAGCTAGGCACGGAAGGGAAGGGACAAGTGTGGGGGGAGGTGGGGGAGGGAAGGGGTTTCTGGATCGAGGGGCGGGAGAGCCCTTCCTCGGCCTGGGTTGTGTTTGCAGGGGGCATCCTCCTGCGTTTGGGCCAAGCAGCGGTGCTTCCCGAAGGGACGGCCCTGGAGGTGGACTCCTGGCCCGCAGCCCAGGGTTTGGGGGTGTAGCGCTGTCCCTGCATTCGCCAGGCTGCTGTGCCGCTGCTCCCAGGTCTCAGCCCAGCCCCTGGGGCGTGACTCCGAATTGACGGGAGAGCATAACTTCGATTCCCGAAGCGGATCGAAGAGCAGAAGGGACATGTTGGACCAGGACCCCGTTATCGGGCTTACGTGGCTGACAGCTCCTGCCGTTGATGTGTTGGATGAGGTTGAAGGCTATTCTCAGGAGGCCTCCCTTCCCTGTGGGGACTCTCTAGTTGCCCAAATTCTCCTTTCAAGTTTATTGAGTTTTTAAAAGAGTATTGCTATTAAAAATAGTGATTCAGACCAGCGATTTTTTTTTAAAACCGGTGTGCCATAAGAGGAAAAGGTTAAAATCGCTCATTTAGATCCTTATAGAGCAGTGGTTCTCAACCTTCCTAATGCCGCGACCCTTTAATGCAGTTCCTCATGTTGTGGTGACCCAACCATAAAATGATTTTCGCTGCTACTTCATAACTATAATTTTGCTACTGTTATGAATCATAATGTAAATATCTGATATGCAGGATGTATTTTCATTGTTACAAATGGAACATAATTAAAGCATAGTGATTAATCACAAAAACAGTATGTAATTATATATGTGTTTTCGGATGGTCTTGTGCGACTCCTGTGAAAGGGTGGTTCGACCCCCAAAAGGGGTCGCGGCCCACAGGTTGAGAACCGCTGTTCTAGAGGGTACTGCTCCTGGTAAAAGGAGAAGAGCTCTCTTAGTAGAGTTTTAGGTGTGTTTTTCCAGGAGTGGTTGGCTTACCCATGCAAAGCTCACTTGGCTCATCCTGAGGGTGCCAGCCCATTGAGCACAGGTTTTGGTGTTCAGGCCACACTGCTCCCCACCCACCTCCGTTTGCAAAAAAAAAGTATTTCATTTACTCTTTGAACCTAGTGGGCTCTAATAGAAGAAGCAAATCAAACAGTCAGTTATTGTTTGACAAGGATTTTAAGACACAGTTTTACTATTAATAATATTGAGTTCTAGCACAGGTTTATCTAATAATCAGAAAAGAATTTGCTAACCAGAATAACTATACTGAGCTGGTGAAATCCACTACCAGGGGATCACTCGATTACTTTTATAATCCACCTTGTTCAAGTTGCAACTTTTGAAGGGAGCTAGCCATGTTTCTCAGAAGGCAGCATTCCTTTTCCTCTTAGAGACAGACAGTTCCTCATTGCCAGCTCTTCACTTCCTGACACCGTGTAAACCATAAAAATCTCTTCAGTGCATAGCAGATTCTATTGCTGAGACATAGTGCATTATGTCTCTTTTTTAATATGTTGTTTTAATAAATTGTTTCTATTAAGACTTTTAAAATATATTGTTTTATTGATTTTAAAGAGAGAGAAACATTGATGAGAGAGAAACATGGATAGGCTGTCTCCTGCACACCCCCACACTGGGGATGGAGCGTGTAACCAACCCCCGGCATGAGCCCTGACGGGGGAATTAATCTGTGAGCTCCTGGTTCAGGGGCAGATGCTCAAACACTGAGCCACACCAGCCCTGGCCAGGCAAGACTTTCTTAAAGATACAACCATGTCATCAGCTGGCTTAATCTGATTTGCACAATGCCCACCTGTTGGCATTTTGTTGATATCTGTGGAACTTTTCACTGTTTCATATTCTGTTCTGTTAGTTGCACCAAGACCTAAGATGTTAAAATTACAGGTGTTGGTAAAAATTAAAGATTTTATTTTAACATTTTTTTTCTTTTGCACATTTTTAATTTTGTAACAGCATTTATAATGTCATTACTGTTGCTCTTCAGGGCTCAGATTGACTTTGCTCTTGACACATTTGCTTGTGCCTTGACTGTTGGGGTCCAGCCCCAGCAGGTCCAGGGGTTCCCGTAGGTGGGGATGGAGTTGGCGAAGAAGGAATGACATGGAGACCGTTTTCAGTTGATCAGCAGCTTAGCCAGGTTCTCTAGCCAGGATCTCCAGCCAAGTTCTGTCTTATTTTAACATTTTATTGAGCATCTAAGTCTTATAAAATGAAAAAAAAATTTGATTTTTGCCTTTTCCACCCAGTAGAGAGGAAAGAAATAATACATAAAACAAGACAGAAAGATGATGGTCATTTCTAATCCCCTATCTTTATATAGGTATTTCCAAGCCAGGATCCTCTAGATCGAGCAGATTTCAATGCTGTGGAGTATATCAATACCCTGTTCCCCACGGAGCAAGTAAGTATGCAGTTTCCTTCATTTTAGTGGCTTCTGGCTCTTCTTGAGTGTTATGATTGATGTGTTATTCTATAAAATCGAAGGAGCTGTGATAAAGAAGGAGTGTTAAATTGAAATCAAACTTCATTGTAACCAGGGGAGTAGCTAATATCAAATACTGTTGTTAAAGTGGAATTCTTTGTAGAGTGAGTATATTATTAGAAATTATACCCTTAAATATTTTCCACACACTGATATTTGCTGGACTAAATCTTAAGCCTCTACCCCCCAAATATTACATACATATCCTAGCACCAATCTTAAATAAATTAGGTTTTAGTACTGTTTGCTATATAAATAAAGGATGAAAATAAAGGTTTAATATTTTTTTTCTCACACCCTAATGGGTATTATTGCAAACCCCTTGGGGATGCACACACCCTCCTCTGGAGATGCTGTTCTGGGCATGGGATATTCACAAAAGGACTCTTGACGGTAATGACTGGATCAGATTCACATTTAAAAAATTCCATCTGGCCCTGGCCGATTTGGGTCAGTGGTTAGAGCATCGGCCCTCAGTTTGAAGGGTCTTGGGTTCAATTCCTGGTCAAGGGCACGGACCTCAGTAGCAGGTTCAATCTCCGGCCTTGGTTGGAGCACATGCAGGAGGCACCCACTCAATGTGTCTCTCTCCCATCAATGTTTGTCTTCCCATCCTTCCTTCCTCCCACTCTCTCTCTAAAGATCAATAAAAAAAATATCCTCATGTTAGAGATAGACAGTTCCTCATTGCCTCAATACTCAGGTGAGTATTAAAAAGTTTTTTTATTAGGCCCTGGCCAATGTGGCTCAGTTGGTTGGAGTGTCATCACATACACCAAAAGGTCAGGGCACATACCCAGGTTGCGGGTTTGATCTCCCATCTGGGTGTGTATGGGAGGCAGCCAATCGATGTTTCTCTCTCACATTGATATTTCTCTCCCTCTTCCTTCCTCTCATTAAAAACAATCCTATCCTATATAAAAGGTCAGGACCATAAGCATAACGCCTGGAAAGACTACTCAACCAGTTGCTGTGAGATGCATTGACCACCTCTCGGTCCCTCCCCAGTCCTGCAGGTTCTGATCACAGCATGATGAACGGGAACTGCAAAATGCGAACGGGGTGGGGTTGGGGGAGGAGGACTGGGGATTGTTGGGTGGCGAGCAGTGGTGAGTATCCAGTGGCAAAGCTTCGGGGCATTGGTGGGGGCGGTTAGCCTCATGGGGAAGGGGAGTGTTGCAGGGCCAGCATGGGGGCGGGGAGCTTTGCAGAGCGTCTTGGGCCAGTTGCAGGGCGAGGAGCGTTGAGCATCGCAGCGTGTCACAGGCCGGCGGCAGTGAGGGGCAGCGTGGGGCAGCGGACGTGGCCCTGATTGCAGGCTAGGCCTAGGGACCCTACTCATGCACAATTTTGTGCGCTGGGCCTCTAGTAATCAATAAAAACATATCCTTGGGTGAGGATCAAAAAATATTCCATCTGGCAACAATGTGGAGGGTGAAATGGGGGGAGGCAGAACTGGAGGCAGGAAACCCAGTTAGCAAACTGCTGTGACAGATCACTTAAGAGAGATGATGAGAGCCCTGGCCGGTTTGGCTCAGTGGATAGAGCGTCGGCCTGCGGACTGAAGGGTCCCAGGCTCGATTACGGTCAAGGGCATGTACCTTGATTGCGGGAACATCCCCAGTGGGGGGTATGCAGGAGGCAGTTGATCGATATTTCTAACTCTCTATATCCTCTCCCTTCCTCTCTGTAAAAAATCAATAAAATATAGATTTAAACAAAGAGAGAGAGAGAGAGATGATGATGAGAGCGTCAGTAGAGACCAGGATGGAGAGAACAAGATCCAAGAGCTATTTAGGAGGCATAAGACAGAATTTGGTAGTTGAAGGGATGTAGAACCTGAAACCATTCATTTACTCAACAAAAAACACCTCCTCTGCTTCCCTCTGTAAGAAATTTGTGGCCAGAGGAATGGACAAGGCAAATACCCTCCTTCCCAATATAGAGCTTCCAGTCTAATAAAACCATTAGCAGGTTATAAGCAAATTATTATGCTTCACAATGACTTGTTCGTATAACTATTAATTATTTGTTGATGTCAAAAGAGTTCTCACTTTGAGTACAAGGGTAATAATAGATTATATTTATTGGATGCTTACCATGCACCAGGCACCATTCTAAACACGTAACAATGGTAAGTTCTCACTTTGTTAACATGCTTGCTTTACAATGAGAATAATGAGGCACCGAGAGTTAGAGAATGCCCAGCTACATATGATAGTATTGCCACGAAGGAAACATGCTCAATTACTGTGAAAACAGAGCATGCATCTGAGGGACCCAAAAGGGCTTCCATGAGGAAATGACATGTAAGCTGTGCATTATAGGCCAAATGAAGGATTTTGAACTTTGATTTCTAGTCTGGCAGACTAAGTGGGCGTTAGCACCTTTACTCTATATTGGGAGTAGGAAGAAAAAACAGGTTTCAGTGGCAAATAGGCTAATAGGAGGATGTAAAGGTGAGCTCATTTTGGAACATATTTGGGGCATCCAGGTAGAAATATGTGGTTGGATAGTATTTGAATCTGAAGCTCATAATCCCCATAATTGCTACTATCTTGGCATAAACCAGCTTTTTCTAATGGACATGTTAATTTTTAAAATAAAGTTGGAAAACATGGCATCCTACTATGTGATTATCTCTTTTGAGATTTCACAGGTAGCCTTTAGCGCTCACATTTTCTTTGTTTTTTATTTAAAAATGATATCAGAAATTTATTAAAGTGTTGTTTTTTAATCCTCACCAGAGGACATGTTTTCACTGATTTTTTTTTTTTTTTTGAGAGAGAGAGAGATAGAGAGAGAGAGAGAGAAAGAAACATCAATCAGCTGCCTCCTGTAAGCACCCTGACAGGAGGTGGGAATTGAACCCGCCACCTTTCCGTGTACTGGAGGACGTAGAGCTCATCATTTTCTATGAAAAAGGAATTCTGGGAATTAGCTGGACATGGAAATTTGGGAACAACTGATATAGAGATAGTTTTAAACATGAAAATATTTCATTTACCCTACCCTATTAAGGTTGCTGACCCACTAAAACAAAAGTATGTGTTAGATTTGAAAATTATATGGGAAACCACCAGGTTCTTACATCTTACTGATATGTTGTTATTTGTTTTTAAACTACTGTAGGGAGCACAAGACATCCAGATTTAGTAATGTGTCTTGCCTTATGCCCTCATGTACATGATAATGTGTTGTGAAATTTCTTAGGTGACTCAGAAAGTTTATGACCCAGGGTTACCTTTATTTCCCCAATCCCAGATTTACACTTAGCAATTTATCCCAGATTTCCATGGACCTTAAGGAAAGGTAATAAAAAGTAGTGGCATGATTTATAATTTCTTTCAGCTATTGCTATATCTTGGGCAAAACCCATCTCTATGCCTCATGGACCTGCAGTAAATACTTGTGAATTATAAATTTAGAATATTTAAAGTATGTCAGTATATCAAGAATATATTCAGTGTCACTCCGAGGAGGAGGGTGTGAAGGTGTAACTACCTCGTGTCTGTGTGGACTGGAACAGATCCCCAGATGTTTCTTACTCACCAGGTCCAGGTGTGGGGAACGTGGGTTTCTGTATGTAACAGGGCTCCCTGGGTGGTTCTGAAGAGTAGCTGGGCTTCCAGTCTCCTAGTAGAAAACTGAAGATGACAATTGTCATGTTTTCATTAGAGGTTTGATTAGGGAAACTAGATGAAATTTATATTAAAAAATAGAATTAAGCCTGGCTGGCGTGGCTCAGTGATTGAGCATTGACCTATGAACCAGGAGGTCATGGTTCGATTCCCAGGTTGCAGGCTCGATCCCCAGTAGGGGCATGCAGGAGGCAGCTGATCAATGATTCTCTGTCATCATTGATGTCTCTCTTTCTCTCTCTCTCTTTCCCTCTCCCTTCCTCTCTGTAATCAATAAAAATATATTGTAAAAAATAAAATTAAGAACTTTGAAAAAAAGAGTTATATGGAGATGTTTATACAGAATTTTTAATGATTCCCTCAAAATGTATGCATCTGTGTGGTTAAGAGTAAAAAAGATGTCAAATTGCTTATCATCTAAGTTTAATTTTTTAAAAAGCCATATAGTATTTGCATAGAAGGAGCAGTAGAAGGTAATATACCAAAATGCTAATGGTGATTATACTCTGTTGGGGATGAGTCTGATTTTATGTATTTTCTGTAATCAACAAGAATCACCATTAAAGTCAGGAAATACTTTTCAATAAATAAGACATTTTTAAGCGATGGAATTAACACTGTGCAGCCACATTACAACAGAACTAGAAGAATGATTCTCAAAGAGTAGATGTATCATCTCCACCCAGGGTAGCCAATCTGGATTCCTATGGGGCGTTTTCCCAACTGCCAGAGAGGCCTCAACCCCAGTGAGAATCATTGTTATCGAGAGGCACTGAGCTGATAGCAGGGAGTGTGTCATATCCCTCAGGTGTGTTGGGGTTCAGAAAAACTAGGTCAGGAACCACTGTATTAGAGGTGGCATGGTAGAGTAAGAAAGAGTGAAGACCCAGGAGTCAGACCTCCACCAAGTCCAGCCTCCGTGACCTTGGACAAAGTATCTATGCTTTCAGGGCCTATTGTCCATTCTTTATACCGAGGAGGAAAAGAGCCTGGTAAGAAGATTAAGGGGAATCATTTTTGTAAAATGTTCAGAGGAGTGTTGCATAACAGATCCACATTAAATGTTAGCACCCTTTTTTCCCTTTTGCTTCCCCAGTAGAAAATCTGGACGATAAAGAGCAAGTAGTCCACCTAACGTGCAGTCAAGTGTTAGAATTTTCTTGTCTTTTAAAAGCTGTATTCATGGGGTACTTGGTATTTTTACGTGTTTTCCCCATTATTAGCATATTCTCTTAAGTGATATTTGTTTCAGAGTCTCCCTGGCCAGTGTCTTTAGTGGTGGGACAAAAGTCCATCAAATATATGTGGCCTAATTTATTTAACTTTTCTATTGAGGGCCCTTTAGGTCATTCCCTGTTCTGTTTGTTTGTTTGTTTGTTTGTTTTTCTTTTTTATTGTCTAAAGTTTTACATATGTCTCCCTTTTCCCCAATTGACTCCCCTCCCCCAGCCATTCCCACCCGGGCAAGCCCCCACCGCCCCAGTGTCCATTCCCTTTTTGTGTGTGTGTTTTTAAAAAAAATATATTTTTATTGATTTCAGAGAGGAAGGGAGAAGGGGAAAGAGATAGAAACATCAATGATGAGAGAAATTTGATTAGCTGCCTTCTCCATGCCCCACGCTGGAGATTGAGCCCACAGCCTGGGCATGTGTCCTGACTGAGAATGAAAATGTGACCTCCTGGTTCACAGGTCCATGCTCAACAGGTTTGCTGACCAGGTTTGCATTTTTTTTTTAAAGATTTAAAAATTGATTTTCAGAGAGAGAGGAAGCGAGAGGGGAAGAGAGAGAGAGAAAAACAGGAATGTGACATCACATCCATGAGCAGCCTCCCACACACCCTCTACTGGGGATTGAGCCTGCAACCTGGATATGTGCCCTGACCTGGATTCAAACCAGCAACCTCTCAGTGCATGGGATGATGCCCAGCCAACTGAGCCACACAGGCCAGGGTGTTTTTTGCTTTTTAAAATAAATGCAGTTGAATATCTGAAAGCATAATTATTTTGAATTATTCTTTTCAGGAAAATTGTTATGACTTAAGCAAGACCTTCATGTCTACAGAGTATTAAATTTAAGCAATAATTACTGTACCACCAAACATCAATATTTGCTGATGTGGAATGACCTTCAAGTTATATTGTTAAGTGAAAAAAGCATGGTACAGGACAATGTGCATTTATGTAAGGAAGGGGATATAAGTTATGGGTCTGCTTCAGATACATAGACCTCTCTGAGAATGTGCCAAAGAAACTGGCCCAGAGCCATTGCCTCTGGCGAGGAGAACTGGGAGGTGGACGGGCAGAACAGGGGAAAGGAAGCCTTGTTTTCCACTGTCTGCCCTTTTCTGTTTGAATTTTTGGTCCTCTACATGTTTTACCAATTTAAGTAGATTACAATTTTAAATTTTGAGATAATTTTCCATTTGTAGAAAAGACGCAAGAATAGTACAAAGACTTCATGGCTGTCCTAGCTGGTTTGGTTCAGTGAATAGAGCATCGGGCCAGGAACTGATGGGCCGCGGGTTCCATCTGGTCAAGGGCATGTACTTCAGTTGCAGGCCCTGTCCCCAGCCCTGGTCGGCGCATGTGGGAGGCAACCAATCCATGTGTCTCTCTAACATCGATGTTTCTCTCTGTCTCTCCCCCTCCCTTCCACTTGCTCTAAAAATTAATGGAAAAATATCTTTGGGTGAGTATTAACAAAACCAACAAACAAACAGAAAGAATTCATGGCTACCCTTCATCCCCAATTTCCCAAATGTTAACATTTTTAAAATAGTTTTTTTAAGTACCAAAATTGTTTTTAAAAAAGGAATGGGTTCCAGCAGAGATAAGCCAGGTGAGAACTAGTATGCCTGTTTTGCATATGAGGAAATAGAAACTCAGAGAGGTTAAACCTCTTGCCCTCTAGACATACAGCAAATTTGTTTGTGGCAGAGATTTGCCAAACCCAGGTCCTCTGACAACTCAGGTTCTGTCACCACCGTGGTGATTTATACTCAGTCTGGTTGTGCAATGACAACTTGACAGAGGATTCCTCAATTAAAATAACTCTCTTTTCTGAGATTTATTGTTACCTCAGTCTGTTCTTGGGTTTCTGAAATTCAGAGTAACCATTGGCTTTGTCGGAACAGTAGACAAGATGTGAATGGCCCCATCTGACATCTCAAACACTTGTGACCTGATTTCCTTACCAGCCCTGCTGCCGGCGGGAGCCTGGTCTTCTCCTGCCAGCACAGGTTGCTGGTAGCAGTTCCTACATCACCCCCAGTTCTTGCTCAGATAAAATATCTGTTGGTAAAAGAGAGAGAGAGAAAGAGAACTGGTGCCTAAGTGGTTAAGAGTGTCGGCCTTCACACCTAAGGATCTTGGGTTTGATTCCTGGTCAGGTTCCCATTCGGGACGTGCAGGAGGCAACCAACTGATCTCTCTCTCTCTCTCTCTCTCTCTCTCTCTCTCCCTCTCCTCTCTCTCTCTCTCCCTTATTCCCTTCCACTCTCTCTAAAAAAATCAATGGAAAAAAATATCCTCTGGTGAGGATTAACCCCCACCCCCCAAAAAAAGTGCTATTAAGTTGTACCATCTCTATTCCATTAGGGGGCACCATTTCCTCACATTTTTTCTTCCCTAATGTTGGAACTAGTCCATTTATTTCTATTGTCATTGTCTTAAAAACAGAAATACCTGTATTATAATTACAATAGCAGTGCATAGTCAATATAGAGCAGTTAGAAAATACTCAGCAAAAAAATTTTTTTAAATCTTTTCATGGATTACAGCTACTGCTACTGATTTCATAGATTCTAGCTACTAGTATAGATTACAAGTTCTAGTATTTATCATTCCAGACTATTTTCTAGTGGATCTATACACTTAGAAAAAATAGATAGATTTATTTATTAAAGAGTAACATAATGTGGAAGAGTACACAAATCTTAAGTGTATAGCTTGATGAATTTTCACAAAATGAATTCAGCCATGTAACTACCACCCAGATCAAGAAATAAAACATCTTCATGCCTTAGCCAGTTTGGCTCAGTGGATAGAGCATCAGCCTGCAGACTGAAGGGTCCTGGGTTCGATTCCGGTCAAGGGCATGTGCCCAGGTTGTGGGCTCGATCCCCAGTAAGGGGCATGCAAGAGGCAGACGATTAATGGTTCTCTCTTTTCATTGATGTTTCTATCTCTCCCTCTCCCTTCCTCTCTGAAATCAATATATATATATATTAAAAAAGAAGAAATAAAACATCTTTAGATGGCCCTGTCTTTCCTGCTCATAGTCACTGTCTCCTCCAAAGATAACCACTATCTTTGCTTCTAAAACGAGAGAATAGTTCCACTCATTTTGTAACTATAAAAATGGAATCCTACTGTATATACTCTTGTTGTCAAGCTTTCTTTTGTGTGCAACATTATATTAGTAAGATTTATCCATGTTGTTGTATGTATGTTCATTCATTGCTATATTTGTTGTATGAATTTTTTATGATTCTATATATCAGGGGTCAGGCAAAGTTTCTGTAAAGGGCTAGATAATACATATTTTAGGATTTGTGGACCATTCAATCTTTGTTGCAATTACTCAACTTTGTAGTTCAAAGCCAACTGTAGATAATATGAAAATGAATGGGTATGGCTGTGTTCCAATAAAACTTCATTTATAAAAATAGATACCAGGCTGGATTTTGCAATAGTTGCCAATTACTGCTATACTTTTTTTTTTTTTAAGTAAAAATTGAATTGTACTCTCTGATAAGGGAGAGAGAGAGTTAGAAACGTCGATGAGAGAGAAACATCGATCAGCTGCCTCCTGCACATCTCCCACTGGGGATGTGCCCGCAACCCAGGTACATGCCCTTGACCGGAATCGAACCTGGGACCTTTCAGTCTGCAGGCCGACGCTCTATCCACTGAGCCAAACCGGTTCCGGCTATACTTTTTTTTTAAAGTAAAAATTGAATTGTACGCTTTGATTACATTTTCTGAGATGTCATCAATAGCCATTATAGTTCATCATTTCCCTGTAAAAGAGGAATTCCAGGAAGCGAAATAATAGCTGGCACTTTTCCTTTTTATTGTAGTCTCTGGCAAACATAGACGAAGTTGTGAACAAGATTAGACTGAAAATAAGGTAAGTAATACGATATGATTATTAATAATGAAAAATATGCTTCATTATCTGAAATCTCACTTTTGCTATAAATGGTCATTTGAAAGAAAAATAATTCATTTTATGTGGGTTTTCATACAAGCCTGTGGCAAAGACCTCAATTCTTTGATCAGTCTTCAATTATTTGTTAAAAGGGAAGAAAACTGTAACAGGCTATTCAAAACAGTTGTTATAAAAGGAGGCAAAAGCATTTTTATATATTTTTTAACCATTTGTATGCCATAAGTGTCTATAGATGCAAATGGCAGACCTTTTTTTAATTAAATTCAAAATATCGTGGCGGTTAACTGGTTAAAATTGATTTTAGAAGGAGAGGAAATGAGAGAGCCTAGAAAGAGAGAGAGAGAGAGAGAGAGAGAGAGAGAGAGAGAGAAACATTGATGTTAGAGAGAAACAAGGATCGGTTGCCTCTCATACACACCTTAACCAGGGATCAAACCAAAACCTGGGTATGTGCCCTGACCAGGAATCAAACGCTGGACCTTTCGGTGTACAGGACGATGCTCCAACCCACTGAGCAACACTGGCCAGGGCAGCATTTCTACTATATTTGTAATGGCTTTATTTTCTTAGTAGATTTACTTTGTGTGTGTGTGTATTCCTAAGGCTTAGATATGAATATGGGCTTATATGTATACACATACATGTATACACATATATTGGCCACATACCAGTTACCAATGAGGTTAGATCTGCTGGTTGGTATGAGTGGTGGCCCAAGATTAAACATCGTGATTAATCTAGGATGTGATTGTCTAGGGTGGTCATCAAGTGTCCTTCGTGCCCAATAGCCTTGTTCTGGTTTGTCCACATCTGAATTTCCAGTTTTAACACATGGTAGATACTCAGTGTTTATTTATTCATTATAATTATTATCATAACTAGTGGCCCGGTGCACGGATTCATGCATATTGAAAGGAAATTAATTAGAAAAAATATTTTAATATTGCTATTCACCCTTTCTCTATAATAGAAGTGTCAAAGGTGAAAGAAAATGTATATTAGTAAATGTTATCGGCAGTAAACCAGATTTGGGGCCGACAGTGCCCCAGCAACCCACGGCCAAAGGTGGAATCGCGTGGCCCCTCAAGGAATCGGGCTCCCTCCTCTCTGGTTCCGGGGTGCGTCACCCAAGAACCGCAGCTGCCAAGTCACCACAGCTCGGCAGCACCTGCTTTGAGTGTCTGCCCCCTGGTGGTCAGTGCGCATCATATGTACTGGACGGTCAGATGGTCACTTAGCCTTTTTTATATACATACTAGAGGCCCGGTGCACAAAAATTTGTGCACTCGGGGGGGAAGGGGGGGTCCCTCAGCCCGGCCTTTGCCCTCTCGCAGTCTGGGACCCCTTGGGAGATAACGACCTGCTGGCTTAGGCCTGCTCCCGGGTGTCAGAGGGCAGGCCCAATCCCTAGGTGCAGCCCCTGGTCGGGCTCAGAGCAGGGCTGATTGGGGAGTTGGGGCGCCGCCCCCTGTCACGCACAGAGCAGGGCCAATCAGGGGGTTGGGGCACTGCCCCCTGCACAGAGCAGGGCCCATCAGGGGGGTTGGGGCTCCGTACCCTGCAGGGCCAATCAGGGGGTTGGGGAGCTCCCCCCTGTCATGCACAGAGCAGGGCCCATCAGGGGGTTGAGGAGCTCCCCTTGTCACTCACAGAGTAGGGCCGATAGGGGAGTTAGGGCACCGACCCCTGTCACACACACAGCAGGGCGGATCAGGGGGTTGGGGTGCTGCCACTGTCACAGCTCAGGGCAGGGCCACTGGGGAGGTTATGGCTCTACCC